TGCGCCTCTGTTGGCTACGCGGCCAAGTGGGCCTACTGGCTTGCGGTGGCGGTTGTGGGGGTCTTTTGCCTCCAACTGGCCGTTTGGACAATCAGTTGGGTGGTCATACCCGTTATCAGGCACACCTATGCCTTCTACCGGTACCTGACGGGGCAGGGCCCCTGGCACGAGGTGGTCAGGCTTCACGGGTTCTCTTCTTTTAGGCCGAAGTGGAAGGGCCCTGCCACCGGGACCCCTTGGACGGCACAGTATGTGCAACAAGAAGTTCGAGGGAGGAGTGAAAATCGAGAACCCCTCGATTTGTTAGTGTCTGACGGGGTGGCAGTTGCGCGCCTCAGACACGGAGCCCTCAGGGGCCGAACTGACAGGCATGGTTACCTAGCCCGGTGCAACAGCGTACACTCCAGCAGCCATCGATACTGGCGCAATCAGATTGAAGTTGCGGAGTGCGCGGTGCACCTTTGTTCCGCTGACCCCTGTACCGCACCGGACTGCGCAGAAGTCCATGTGGGCTTGAGCGCTGTGGCGCCCCGCTCTGAGGAGGTTGACCTTCAGGAAGTCGCGGGCAAGGGGGCCTTAGCCCGGTGCTGGACAGTTACATCTTTCTGGGGCTGTCTCACATGTGGGGCTTTCCGGCGCTGTGCCTCGTCCTGCTGTAAAGGCGGGAGGAGAGCCTGTCGCCTTGCCCTTTGCTGTTGCCTGCGGCGAGCTTCTCGCCCGGGCAATGGCAGCGCAGGTAGGAGGGACCTTCACGATGATTCGGAGACTGAATCAGAAGGGGGAGAAGGAGACCATATCTGTCAAGCAGACCAGGTCGCGTTGGGCGGACCTGAGGCAAAAGGGCCTCTCTCGTTGGGGCCATGCAAGGATTGCAGTTGCGGGCCACCCATCCGCCTACTGCAACCGGACGAGCGCACGAGCTGCACGGAGGACTTGATGTGTGAAAACGATGGGTACTACTTCCGCGCATGTCAAAGGCACCGGGACATGTACGAGGCGTCTCGGGCCAAGAGGGCCTGTGCAGTAGAGGGCTGCAACAACGCCGCCAGAAGTGTGCTCAAAGGAGTGCGCCTGTGCAAGCTCCACTCGGCTAAGGAAGAGAAGGGGCCGAAACCTCAGAGCGAAGCGAAAGGCCCCCGCGCTGTCGGGGACGTCGTTCAGGAAGCAGACAAGGAGGGCGCCGCCTCACCGCCTGAGGCGCGTTCCGCGCCCGGGCAGGGGGGTGGTGACTCCAGCAACCTTGCCTCAACGGGGAACGAACAGGAGGACTCCAAGGATTTGGCCGCCTACCTGCAGGCGAGGCTGAATGGAGAGTCCCACTCAGTCGCTCTCCTCAGCACAGCGAAGCGGGACGAGAGCCTGACCGCAGCGAGCCGACGCCTCACAGAAACAGCGAAGGCGGCGCTTCAGAGGCTGCCTCCGGACTACCCGGAGGAGGTAGCTCAGCTCATCCGGAGTCTCGCCGGAGCTCGCGAGAAGGGGGAGACACCCGACCCCATCCTCGAGTTAGGAAAGAGGAGCCTGGCGCGGACCGCGGCCGAGCTACCTCGCCCGGTCGAGGAGCGCAAGCCCGAGTCCTCGGTGGTGCCTTTTACGGTCCCGGCTCCACGGTTCGGCGTTGCTACCGCTGCTCCACCTCAGGTGAGCGCGGCACTGCTCTTTCGACAAAGGGAGGCCAGCAGGGCGACTGCTAGCGACAGCGCGTCAGCGGTGCCTCTGCCAGACGGCCTCGTATCAGCGCTGAGACCCTCACGGGCAGGCGCGTTTACGGAGCCAGAGGCACGCCCCACTGATGACACAGCAAGGGCATTGCAGACGATTGCGAAGACTCTCAGTGCCCGTGACGAGTCGTCCTCCCACGATAAGGGGAATTAGCAAGCATCGGCCGCCCGGAAGAAAGGCTCGTGTTCATCGTTAGGGGATGTGATTCCCTAACCGTGCCTGTGTGTGCTTGCACCACAGGAAAGGAATTGTTCCACTCGTTGAAGACCGCCGGGGCACAGGGAAGGCCACAGATGCGAGCACTTCGATTTCCGGTGAACGTCACCAACAGGGTCGCGTATGGGCTGGCCTCTCTTTCCATCGGCGGTCGAGAGGTCAAGTCTTTGCCGGAGTACGCTCTCTCTGTTGCCGACTTCCCTTTGACCTCAGAGGAAGACTTCGACAACTTTGTCCCGCCACCTGACAGTTGGCTGGAAAAGCGTCCACGCCACCCGACGACACTGACAGCGTGGTTTCGGGCCGCCCTTAGGATGGCCTGGGCGGTTGCCTGCGTCTATGGCACCGAGCACTACGCACTCTTTGAAGCTGCCGCCACCAAGCTTCTACACCTGGGAGAAGAAGCAACCTATGCTTGGCCGCTCCCCTGGGTGATGAGCACTTGGGAAGAGCTTTGGAGCCGGATGGTCGAGGAACTTCGGCAGCTGGACCGGGAGATGCGAAGGCTGATGGGGGAAGAATCCCCTTCGTGGGAAAGGATCAGGTTTTTCTGCACTTCGCCGGACGATCAAGGGAACCCTTGGCTTCGGCTCCCCCGCACGTTTGACCTGGAGGATCCTAAGGAGTTCTTCGCGTCGGACATAGTCCCGAGACACCAGAGGGCTCTCACCCGGAACTGCTGGCAGCAGGCACTGAAAGCTCAAGGCCTGGGCACCACCGCTCAACTGGGCGGGGGCCGAGCTGGAGGCGACCCCCCAGACGAGGGAACGGCAGTGGCGACTCAGTCGGACGTCCTAGAGGCCTCGAGGGCCGGAGAAGTCGTGAAGCAGGGAGAGCCTGGCGGAGCTCCGGTGGTGGCCAAGCTCCAGGGACCCGCTCTCACTACCAAGGAAGCCTCGAGAGCTCTCGACCACAGGCCCAAGGCCAGAGAAGGAGGAGGCTATCTCTGCTGGGACTATATGTCTCACAGGGGTTGCCACCTGGGGGCCAAGTGCCCACATGCGCACCCCCCAGCATCGCAGATCCTAGCGTGGAACAGTCTTGACTGGTCGGTCCAGCTTCAGCTACTGCGTCGCGGGGGTCTGAAGACCAAACCTAAGACCAAGTCGGTCGACGCAGCTGTAGCAGCCCTCCGACGGGAGGTAGCCCGCAAGCAGCAGGAGCACGTTGAAGAGGGACAGCGCCAGGCAGCGGCAGCTGCCAGGGCCGCGGAACGCCAGCCGACGGCACCCGCAGCAAAGGCCAAGGCAGGTAGAGGACGGCGTAAGGCTGGAGGCCCCACCGACGAGGCCGAAGAAGCCGCGGCCGAGGCCTCGCCGCCGGAGGAGTTTACCTCTTTTGCGCCGACTGACGCTGAGGCTGCTTTGGCAGAGTGGGAAGAAGGGCCTGACTTCACCTGGTTCGCTGACCAGTCCGCTCCCGCCGTCCGAGAGGTGGACGCCTCCGTTGTTGCCAGGGCGCGCCAAAGGCCCGAGGCGCGGCATCGCGCCCGGGCCATGGACGCCGTGACTAAAGAAGCTTCTCTGGAGGGTTGGCCAGCTCTTCTGGCTACGTTCGTCAAAGCCCACCTCGTTCGCCGTAAGGAGTCGCACCCGGGGGAAACCTTGAACCCGGACCACGTTCTTGAGGCTCTCCGCCTCGCGGTTGCCGAAGGCGGACCTGAGTTGGCCACACAGGCGGAGGCCGAACTTGAGAGAACCGAACCGGTCAAGGCAGGGGAGTCAGTTGCTTCCTTCTCGGAGGCGACCCCTGATGGGGACTGCCTCAAGTGCGAAATGCGATGGGGATCGCACTCTTGGCCCGTCGCCGACTACGGCGACAGGCTCTGCTTACTCCCCGGTGTCTCCGAACAGGTCAGGGGGGCGCCCTCTTCCGGTGAACCCGAAGGCCGACAATGTCTCGTCTTACACTGCGTCGCAGGTATCCTGCTCCGTAAGCAAGGGCGTCTTCCCACTTCGGCCGAAGTGGCTTCCGCGGCTGCAAAGGTCCGCAAGGAGCTCCTTGACCGCGCTGTGTCTTCGGACACCGCGTTGGGCCCGGTCCCGGATGAGCTCTCCCGGGCCGAAGCGGACTTGCGTATTTACGCGCATGACCTGCGGCATTGGGCGCATGACAAGGACTATCGCTGCCTGGCCGCGTACCCCCTCCCGTTTTTCTCTCGACATGCTGCTGTTTCTTCGCGTGGACTCCCGTGGCCACGTCACTTCCGAAGAAATCAGGGGGGCGGACGCCACGGCCTCTTCGGAACCCATCGTGCTGGTCATTCACCAGGGCCACATGCGACTGGTGCACGCTGCGCCTGGTCTCGT